TTTTCCACCGATTGTCCCCCTCCACTGCAGGAGGGGAGGGGGATTTGTGAGAGCGGCTGCGTGGTATTGTGCTAGCCAGAGTTAAACCACGACACTGGGTGAACAGGTTATCCTGCGCACAGGCAGCAGTGCTTTACCATCACTGGAGCACCAGACACCGGCAACACGGTCCGTGTGAGACCATTTTGCCCAGATTTGCGCTCAGTTCCAGCAGCATCTGCTCAGTTTAGGGCAGAGCACTTCAACCCGAAGCACGGATCTCCCTCTCTAAACCACCCACTGGTTCTACGCATCGCATAAGCACAGACTGGGGCTGAAGGATTCCCCGATCCCAGCAGCGCTGGGCTGCCCATGGGCTCGTCTGAAGCAGTTGCTCAGTGTTCGCTCCGCAGAGCAGTCTTATACCCGCCCGTCGCTAATTCCCATCTCTCCTGACGCTGCTTCTGCCACTTCGGCTGACAGCGCGACTTCCATCTGGGTCAGACCCTGCAGGGTCTTAAGGGCGTAGCTGGTGTCCTACCCGATTCGTATCGAGCTTACAGGGACTCGGACAATATCCTGGTGTCCGTCTACAAGCCCACTGGCTGCAGGATTGGTAATTAGGAGATTGGGAAGAGGGAGGAAGTAATGCTTGTGCTCTAAGGCATCGTAACAGAGCCCCTTTTCCCTGTCTTCAGCTAATTCTTCCCTAATCTGAGAGGAAAACCTGCAGATATTCTCCCCAGGTGTTTTGGAAACTTGTGCTGGGGGGTCAGCCCTTTCTCGGTGACGTGGACAATGTTGTTAATCCAGCACTGACCCATCCCAGCAGCCACTCCAGAGCTGCTGGATGCGCTACCCTTCCCAAATTCCATCAAACTGCAGACTGGAGCAAGGCTGGAGCTGAACAGCCCCCACGTATCTCTGTCTTTGAAGGAAGACACTGTTAAATAATTAAAGAAATTCCTCCTGTTGGATGAGAAACCTGTGAGCAATGCGTCCCCAACCCGCCATCGTTTCCAGGCTCCGACGTGAGCGCCAGCAAGCGAAGCTTCCCGCGGGCTTGTTCCCAACGAGAAATACGTTATGAGCTTTAGCTCCAACGGAAAAAGCTACATCAACCATTTCTTCGTGAAGCCCGCGCCGCCAAGCGCACGCTCCGTGCCGCAAAGCAGAGCGGCGTTTCCAGGCCCAGGGAAGCAGCCAAGCCAGCTTTTGGGATGCGGCACTGGAGTGAAAGGCAGAGCTTCCCCCAGGCCAGGCCCTGTGCAGCCGGAGCCGAGGCACAGCACGGCGAGACACCGTCGGGTTTTAACGCACGTCCCACTGCCCCGGCTTGTTAACTCTGTGTGTGGTCACGGCGCAGGGCCCCTAGTGACACCCCTCTGACCCCCGGGGAGGTGGAAAATGGGTCTCAGAGGAAGAAGAGGTCTGAGCTGCTCTGTTGGCAGGGATGCTGGTACATCCACAAGCTTTACACTGAAAGAGCTTTAAACTGAAAGAAGGAGATTGAGATGGGACACCAGGACGGAATTCTTCCCACAGAGGGTGGGGAGGCACTGGGACAGGTTGCCCAGAGAAGCTGTGGATGCCCCATCCCTGGAAGTGTCCAAGGCCAGGCTGGATGAGGCTTGGAGCAACCTGGTCTAGTGGAAGGTGTCCCTACCCATGGCAGGGGGGTTGGAAATAGATGATCTTTAAGGTCCCTTCCAACCCAAACCGTTCCATGGTTCCATGACAGCCAGGACTGAGATTGCTGCAGGAACAGAGCGGCTCTGGGGTCCGACTGCCCTCGCAGCCAGCCACACACATGCTGTTGGACCCCCCGAGAGCCAGGTCTCCACACACAGGCTGCTCCCACAGAACACCCCAAGTACAGCCATCATGTTGGGCCGCCCAGGGACATGCTGTGCGGAGCTGGGATCGGAGCAGGATGCCTTCTAAGAGCACTGAGCATGCCCTGCGGTGGGCAAAGCTCCAGCGAGCTGCAGACCCTGCTTCCAACAGCGGTCAGCAGTGGATATTTAAGGGAAAAGAACAAGAAACAGGACCAATGTGGGGCTTTTTCCATGGTGAGACCTGCCATCCCACTTGCCTTTTTCCTCTTCCTTCCTCCTTAGGAAAGCCAACACAAGGTTATCGGAGGGCAGCAGACACATGCAAACCAGATGGCACGTGTCTCGCTGAGCAAGCCACAGCATGCATCGGGTTAGCCCCACGCCAAGGGTTAGCCCCACGCCAAGGGTTAGCCCCACACCAACACGCCAGAACAACGTCCACCCCGTCTTCATCCTCTCTGGGAAGGTGCCAGGTCAGAGTTAAGGTGCCCACCCCACAGATCCAAAGAAATCAAACCACAAGCATGATCAGGGGACACACCAGCACCATGCAGCGGACGCCAAACCGAAGCGTAAGGGTCTGGCAAGTACGCCAGGACATCCAGGATTAAACTAAGGAGGGAAGGAGAGGGAGGGAGGAGCAGCGGCGCTTTGTCCATCAGTTCACAGCGCAGGTCCAGGCCATGTCCCAAGCAGCGGGATTGGAGAGGTGGCAGCAAGCCCAGGTGCTGGTTCAGGCAGCCTTGCCGTGAGCCGGGGCAGCGTGAGCTCGGGGCAGGCAAACGGCGCACACACCTTTTAGGAGAGGGACGCGGCTGACGGCTTTATCTGAAACATGGCCGGGAGGTTTCTTCTTGGGCATCCGACGTCCTCCGGCATCTGGCACAGCCTCTGATGAAGGAGCATCTTTGTCTTCCACATCGTCTCTCAACTCAGCGGGGCATTTGGCTGTTTCTAGCAAAGGTCCCGAGTCTTCTCCCTCCCTGGGCTCGGCTTCTTTTTGGGGGGCGACTTCAGAAGGCTCTGAAGGGGTGACACCTGTATCTTCTTCCCCCACCAATGGATGTCTCCTCCCCTCTTGGTCCTCTCCTGCTTTATGTGATTCAGTTTCAACAAGTGTTTCTCTTGGGATGTCCCTGAGGACACCTGCGGATTTGTCTTCCCCAAAGGCATATTCTTCAAGAGTTTCCTTGGCTGTCGCGGGACACAAGGCAATTTTGGGTCCTGGCGAAACATGCTGACCCACCAGGGAGAGCAAATCCTGCTCAGAAGCTTCATCAATATCACGGTCCTCATCTCTCTCCCGGCCACCGGCATCTTCTTTTAATGGGGCTCTGGTGTATAAAGGAGATGGCCCGTCCCTAATAGGGGCGTCATCCCTGACACCCACTCCTGCTGAGCCCCCGGGGTGCACATCACGACCCGGCTCTCTTCCCAGCGCTGTGCCCACCCCAATGCCTTCTCCGCCTCCGCGATCCCACAACTCATCGCTGTCTTCAGAGGGTCTGGAGTCTTGGTACATGTCCAGGGGTATGGGGATGGTGACCTCGATTCTGGTGGGAGCTGCTGTTGTAGCTCCCTGCTGTGTGGGCTGGCTTTCTCTTTTTGTGGCATCTCCCCCACGCTCCGCAGGGCCAGGCCGTAGCTTTGGAGAGCTTGGCTCCCCTGGAGTTGAAGATGCGGGGTGTGGAGCATGGGCAAACAGTTAGCACAGGCATGTCAAACAGGTATTTGAGACTAAGGATGTCTACTACCAGCTAGAGGATAAAAACAAGTCCCACACCACCTCAGTGAACCGACAACTCACTTCTCCGGTGGCTTTTGCCTTTACAGAAACTCTGGTGCCCACGGGAATCTGGAACAGTGACAGCCACAGCCCGTGAGAGACCAGACTGCCCCCCAGGACCTGGTCTGGGGGGTGGCTGGGGTATCCAACCACCAACGCTGCACACCCGTGCCATGAGCTGGTGGGGCATCGGAGGTTTTCAGAAGCCAAGAGCACACCCGTTTTCTAACCCAACACCACCACTGAACAGTTTGCTGGTCAGTGCCCACCTCTTCTTGCCTCAAAGGCCTGAAGAAAATGGGCCAGACACTCCCTCCTCCTTCACGGGCTTTGAAACCCCGACAGTCCTCTCCTCCCTTGCAGGAGACATTCACAGAGAGATGTTACACCCTCTCCGAGCTCAAACCATCTCGGCTCTGTTCTCCAGATCTCTTACTCAGGAGCTTGGGGAAGAGCACCCCCATGTCTCCTCAGACATGAGACAGACCTCTCCTTTGGGGTTTTTTTGGGTAAAAGAGGATTCTGTTCTGTCGCTGATCTCACGCACGACACAGACCTTTACAATTCTAACAATTGCTGCATTAAGCCACATATCCCAGCTGAGCTGGAGCTTTTCTGTTAGAAATGCATTCAACTGAAGCAAAGCTGCACTGGGCAGTGGATAATTCACCCTGAGCATAGGTAATTGCTTTGAAGTCAACCGCCCTAGTAAGAATGTGCATCTTCTATTATGAATTTGTCCAGCCTCAAATACTCCTTGGTCTTTTGAGCACGGATCAGGTGAACTGAACAGCCTAGATCAGAGCACTTCAGTACTGAGATGTCGAGTGCTGCTTGGTTAGAGATTAAACCAAGAAAAAGTCAAGACTGACTTGGGCTTTTATCAATGTTCTCCCCGTTTTCAGAGAATATAATGGGTAAGTAACACGACCACACAAAGACCTTCAAAACTGTGGTTTAAGAGAAATCTTAAACTGGCACCTGCTGGCAGGTGATAGGTGAAATATGGCACCTAGACACAGCTTTTATAACCAGAGGGATGTGAAGGGTGTTTAGGCAGTAGCCAGGCTCATTTCTTCAGCAAATCAACAGCCTGACCACCGCCAACCGCCGGCGCAGAGACAGGGACAGTCACTTCATCACCTGCACTCCCAAGGCTCCGGACCCAGCGGCGGCTCTCAGGCAAGTGCCAGCACGAGGTCGCGAGTGGGCAGAACGCCGGCACGGCACAACTGCAAATCCGAAGATGCTTCTCCACCCCAGATGCCAAAAGCATGTTAACACACTCCATCTTCACTGCAAAGATCAGCTTTTCAAATCCCACAGCGCGGAACAGGAAGGTGGCTACAGCGAGTAAGGAGACTGCCAAGACTCTGTGTGTGTGGGTGATCATGTTTCCCCCCACATCGAAGAGAACCCGTAACAGGAAGCAGCCGTTATTACCAATCTGCTTTCAGAGAAGTAACATTTACATGAGAACCTACAGATGTCATATACAGGTTGCATCAGAGCCCCAGCTAGCTGTACGTCCCCGTATCCGACCGCTGAAAGATCCCAGGATAGAACAGAAGGGCCTTATTAAGAATCTGGTGAGAAGCAGCAGCTAGACCCAGGCTGAGCAGGGCAGGCAGAAGAAAAAACCTCACCCCCTCCTGCTAACAGTTGGGATTTCTCTTTTGCAGGGGCACCACTACTTTGAATACAGAAGAGTCCGAGAAGCGCTGGACCGGCAAACAAAGGTTGTACTTTAATTGCAGGGAGCAGACTGCACGTAACTGTGCTCATCTGTGTGTGGAAAGCAAAGACGACCTGAATTCTGCCCTGAGCAGAGAAGGCAAAGACCTATTTACTTCTTTATAAGACATGGATGTCCGTAAATGCACCGACCAGCCACGAGGAGCAAAGAGCTGCCCAAGCAGCTGAAGGAATCTGTTAGGCCAACTGCGCGGAAAACTACCTTACAAAACGGGGTGTAACTAAGGTTTGAAACCACGCACCCAACTAGAGCGGTGGAGTGCCGGTGCTAGCCAGACGGCAGTATCCAAGTGAGATTGAACCCTCAGTCTGCCCCGCTGGGCACAGAATTTAGTTAGCGCTGAGCGCCTTGGGAAAATCCCGTCCGGAAATTTTCCATCAAGTCAGAACTGAGCAGCTGAGAGAGGTTTTCCACCTAGCCAAGAGGTCCCTGGATAATTTCTTGGCTCATCTGAGCAGACACACAAATCAATGCTCTAAAAACGCTCGCTGCCCACCGTGCCTGGCTTGGTCAGACACTCCCCAAGGCTGGGATGGGAGAAAATACCCTCAATGTCAAAGTCCGGGCACCAGTGCGTACGTCTGAGACGTGTTTTATGTCAGAAAGTGACACAGTAATTAAACTATTCACTTAGTTCATGTCAGGCAGGGCACAAACCAGACTGTTCCATGCTGAGCAGCTCCTCCGGGCCAACTGCAGCATCCCGGCTCAGTTTACTGCCTTTCCTCGCCTGGAGGGTGTCCTGTTTTGCAACCGGACAAACAAGCGCCGGGGCTTCAGCCACCCGAGAGAGAGACTGGGTGCAGTTCCCAGAAATGAGTACGTGGGAATGTTCAAAGCACGTATGACCCTCCCCTGCGGGGAAGAGGGAGAACCGCACGACTGCTCGTGCAGCGCAGAGCATTGGCATTACAGGAGAAGATTCCCAAGCCACCAGGAACCGGCCCCACGTGTGGGCAGCGATTACCGTCCCCCCGTGACAGACGATTCACTAACCTTGAGCAGCATCGCCCGCAGCGTGGTCCTCCAGGTTGGGGGTGGCTCCTACGCCTGCCTCTTCAGCTGGTCCCAGTTCGGAGAAAGAAGGGGAAAAACATGGTCAAAACAAGAATTCCGTTTCAGCATGTGTCTGGAGAACTTATTTACCTCCCTACTGAGGTAAATAAGCGCTGTAGTATGAGCAAGGCAGTATGGGGAAGGCGATCAACCCACACCGAGGGTGGATCCAGGTAGATCCCTTCAGCCTGGCTGGACCAGGCTGGAGAAGCGTGTCACCCACTGGCAGGTCAGTACAAGCTCCAGGCAGAGGTGTAGGAAACAAGCTAAGGAGCAAGGAAACTTGAGGATTTATATCCCCTCTTCTACCCCACCTAGTGTCGAGGTCACTGGCAGCACTCATACGGATCTCTTACCCTTACCTGAGCCCTACCTCCTCAGTGTCTCCTCCCTAACTCTAATGAACTCTGCTGAGGCTCTTTGACACCAGTAAAACATAAATCTGACACTTCAGGAATACTGGTACACTGGAGAAGCACCATTTTCTCCACAGCAATGATAGCTTGTCTCCATCAGAGCTGTTTCGATTTATTCTGTGGCTACTTTCAAACCAGCTTAATGGATTTTATTTGTATGTGACAGTTCTACAGTCAAACCAGGACTCTCTCTGTTTTCCCACATTTTTTTTCCAAAGAGTTCAGGACACACTGCTTCTTCCCAGCTCCCTGGTACCTCAGATCTTGAACTGTGCATCCCAGCTAGCAGGCAAGCTGCTCTGCGCTTCAGCACAGCAGCCTGGGGACTGAGGCAGGACAGACATTTGGGCTGCCCAAGGGATGGGTGGTGGGCTCGTTTCGGTGTTCAGGCATTGGCAGAAGCCCACTGGCACCCACTTGCTCTCTCAGGTCCTGCCTGACGCTTCCAGGAAAAGCCAGAGCTACGCACAGGGGACAGACACTCATTTGTCACGTGCAGACCTGACTCTCCCAGGAGCTCCTGCCCTCTTGTACACACACACAGCACTGCTGCAGCTCACTCCGCCTCTGAAAGACCCCAATCCCTCCCTGAAAAACCCGTCCTGGCTGCGGTGATGCCCCACAGAGCGTTCAGGCTGAATTAGCCACTTCCTCCGCGTTATCCATAAAACGCGCCGGCAGCCACGGAAGTGCTGCAGTGGCCTGGTTTTCACCGGCCGCTTCCAAGACAACCGCATGGGCTGGGCTGAGGGAGAGCACCAGCAAGACAAGCAGCGAGGGCCCGAGGTGAGCGCCTCGCTCACAGCAAAGCGGGGCTGCTGGCAGAGCGGCGGCGATGAGCGGGATCTGCAGGGAAGCGCTTAGCCTGGAGATGGGAGGCGAAGCCACTGCAGAGACACCAGACAGAAAGATTATCAGATGAGGAGCTGAGAAAGAGAGAAGAGAAGGCTGCGAGTTTCCCACGGGATGGGCAAGGCAAGAGGACAGTTGTGAGCTAGGAATGATTTCTGCAGGCTGTGGAGAAGAGAGCAGCATCAGGGGCAGCGCATGCCTGCGAGAGGTTTTGCAGTGTGATTTTTAAGCACTAACCAGCTCAGCTCTCTGCTTTGTCTGCATCAAGAGATGAAACTGCACCTCGGTCTCCCTCACCTGTGGTTCCTTCTGGGATCTCCCCGTGCTGTTCGACACCACCCTGATCCTCGTGGTCTCCTTCCTCCACTAAAGGTGCTGTGGCATCTGAAAAACAACGCAGCTTTCACATAGCTGTGGGGTGGCAAAGCTCTGGGGAGGCCAGGATATGCCTGAAGGGCTCAGAAAAGCACCTGCCTCCCTCCCTTGAGCTTGTGGAGGGAGATAACCGAGCCAGTATCACAGGGACTCCATGAGCTGTCCCCTCTGCCGCACAAACCACGCATCTCCAGCATAGTCCTTATGTAGCTGAAGGCTTTACCGTAAACCTGTCTGCAAAAGCACAGCTACAGCCAGCCACCGGTGCCTGATGTGCACGGCAACGCTGCCGGCATGGGGACATCGCTGGTCGGGAGCAGGAAAGGACAGCTCCTGTGAGACACCTTCACAAACCACTGTGAGCATCACGCTCTGGGCAGCTCTGAAGCAGTTACCTGGCTCCACCTATCAGAGGGATGTCTGTTCATCGTGACCATCCTGATCCGGCTGGAAAGAGGGACAATATCCCCTTCTGCACCAGCCAGGTTTTATGTACTGATTTCTTGAGCCAATTCACAGATGATCAGTCATCCCACGTCTCCAGTGGGACAGGGGTGGAACCGACCAGCATCTCTGCCCTCCCTTCCTTTAGACAAATTTGGCAAACTAACACCTTTACCTGCAGTCTCCAAGAGGCAGACACTTGGGATTAAAGCAGCCAGAGGAAGACAAAACATGCAGTTAATTAAACCGGTGCACAAGTCACTTAGGAATGAGATTCCTTCTACAAACATGGCATTCAGGTAACACTCCGGAGCAGCACGGACATGCCCAGAGTTCCACCAGTATGAGCCTTCCCTCAAGTTTTGGTTTACGTATAGACTCTGCCCGTGTAAATGCAGAGGGGGCAGAAAGAGACCCAGGAGGTACAGCTAACCCTGAGCGGGCAGACAGCACTCAGGACGGGCGGTCAGCGCTTTGGGGGAGCAGAAGGATGCAAACCCCTGGCCCTGGGAGCACACAACACGGCTCGTGGCTGCGCTGAGCTCACGGGGCCTTGCAGGCACCGTGTAAAAGGTCTTCAGGAAACAAACCTGAACTATAATAAACGCTTCACCTTCTCTTGCCTTCCAACCCTCTCTCCACCTTTAAAGCTCATTATCTCGTCCTGCAGAGTGGCAAACATCACTTGTGACGAGGCTAATGAAGAGCATTTGTCCAAGAGCGCAGACATTCCTCCTGAGAAACCCCACCAGCACACGGCACGGTGAGTCTGTCGGCAAGGTTTACCACGACCCCGTCATCATGGTTTCAAAGCAGTAAGTCAAAGAGCTCCCACCTTCCGTAGTTGGGGTGCTCTTAGCGTCAGATGTTTCAGAAACAGGCTCATCCGATCCGTCATCGACTGGTATCTGAAGGGGATAGCCTGGAAAACATTCAAATACTTAGAACAAGTCCTTGGCTGTGAATTACGGCCTGTGCGTTACGAACCCTGCTTGCCCAGATCCACAGCAGCAAGAAACTGCAACTGGAGAGTATGAAACACCTCAACTAACAAGCAAGCAAAGCGTGAAAATGCCAACCCAAAGCACCAGTGTCATCACCCAAAGGAACAAGCAGAAACCCATCAGCAAAAGAAAAGCCCAGTGAACCGGACAGCTAGAAACAGCAAAGCATGGCACAAGCAGGAAAGGAGACCGTGGCAATGTCAGCAGAAAAGATGGGCAACTTCGGAGGCGTTGCTGTCCGCTCTGCCGTTTCTGGAGTCAGCGGCCCCCCTCCCAGAGCTGCTGAACCCTTC